TGAGAGGAAAGATACTAAAGATGACAAAAAGTCATTCTGTGTGTTAATGTTTTGAAAATTACGATCATAAATATTATACTAGACGCAAACTTTTAGTGCGTTTATGGCTTAACACCAATTTAACTTCCATTATAATTCAGTAGGCCGTCACAGCCGGATGTTTTAAACTCGCTTACTGCTAAGTTACCTGAAAAGACCTTTTGTGGTAAAAGCAAAGGGCAGTAATGTCTCGGCCGTCCCTAATACGTGACATGGTTTGCATTTGCTAAGTTTTATGAAGGGTTGGCTGTAAAATACTTAAGACGTCAAAGTCATAAACGCACTAAATGTTTGCGTCTAGTATACATGCAGTTTTAGGAATATTAAATTACTATATACATATCTAGTGAATTGCTAAAGTAATAATAAGACAATAGGACTTATGGTACACGATATTAAATAATTTCAAAATCTATCTTTATTGTAATGTGGAATTATTATTACATTAAAATTGTTCGTGGAGTCACCATCGGTTTTTCTTTTTCAAGTTGAATTGTATAATATATCTCTTTTATTTATCAAGTCTGATGACATTTTTTTCTCTTTATGATAATGTACTTGATTTAGTACTTGCAATCACACAAATTCACTAAAAGGACACTTTTATTTAAATGGTGACTTTTTGTCTGATTTTGTTTTGCAAACGATCGGTGTTATAAAAATGTAAATATCGTTTTTTATTTCCTCTATACTTTTACTTTTTCGCGACCTTTCATGACTCCTAGAGTACGAAGAAATAGGTCTCCCGTTTCCGTCTGTCTGCCGTCACGGATTTTTATTAGACAGATAATCTCCGAAAGTACTGTTATTTTTAGTATTACACTGCACCAATCCAAGTTCATATACGTGTCCTTGTGTTTTCTGGCAATGGTAATACGCTCTGACTAATTTTCTTTTGTGCTGTGACTAGTATTATCCATGTTGACGACGACGTCACAAATTTTTTATCGATCAAATTAAGAACGAGTCACCCCATTTTTTCGAAAATGTGAAGAATATCATTATATAATAATGATAAAATAAAAATTATAATATTGGTTTAATTAATAATCTTAGTCCTGTGTTTTGAGAAGACAAACTCATTCAACTCAAACTAATTTCTACGTGACATTCTTTCGATGTATAAAGATAAATAAACACTTGAGCGCCAGGTTGCTATTATCTAGTGTTGAAAGACAAGGGTTGTTAGAGATGGATTACTTTTAAGGTCAACATGGTGAGGTACTTCAGGAGCGAGGGAAGTTCTATCGAAACAACTTCCGACCAATTTTTTTATTACTATTTAAAGCCACGAGAAGAAATCGATTATTTCTTTATATTAAAATCCTGAAGAGTTCTGACACGCATATTTAACTAAACTGTATGTGTCGCCTGCAAGTTGTCCGGATCCCATACTACTTGATCTTTTGGAACCTTCTTTAAAGAATATTTTGTTTTTCGTACTGCTTACAACCGTGTACGAATTAGTAAACGTTTAAATCAAGATATTGTGTGAAACCGGTGAAGACGTTTTGAACATTCGACTGATTGTCAGTAAATACCTTTTGATCTCATATTTTAAATATAATCTTGGTGTGTTTAACACATACTTTGCCTTGATAAACTCCTACATGGTCGAGCTGTATTAATAAAAAATTAACTCGTTACGTTGTTGCATTTTCGTTTTTCCTTTTAATTACATCTGAAAATAATCACTACTACTATATCAGAAAAAATCTAGCCTATAAGGAAGAGATTGAACCGGTGGCCCTCGCGTGCTTCACGTCATTAATACGACGCGATTACTACTATTCCATTAGGGTTACGTTGCTCGTATATTGTGCTAAAATGTTATTACTTAAATTGGAATTTTTGGGGAAAATTTGGACCCTTAGGGTAAAAACTCAAGACAGATTCATAAACAACAAGTGCAGTAGTATGTTCAGAAGTATGTTATTTTATAAAATGCGAATAACATGCACCAAGCACAACTTTGAGGTGACGTTTTCAAATTGTTATTGGAGATGAGTAGACAAATTTTAGTCAGCGTTTCACCATCTACACGATATTCCTAAGATACATATCAAATTTGACAATAATCGGTCCGGTAGTTTCGGAAATGATCTCTTTAATGAAAATGGACAGACTTAACAGGCAGACAGACAAAAACGGGATATCTATCTTTTCATAGTTTAGGAGTCATAGAACGTCAAGAGAATATAAAAGTAGCCATTCGCCGGGTAGATTCTATTACAATACTTCCTTAGTTTCCGCTAAGATAAGATATTTAGAATCAAATTTCATAATTTAAAAATAATAATAATAATATTGTTTAACAACATTGTTTAACAAGTGAATTTAACAAAAAAAAAATAATAATAATAATAAAAATAACCAAAACAGTGGGCTTGCTTGATAAATTTTGCTTGAGGGTTCTGTCTAAATAATTTTACAATACTTTTTAATTAGCTTCGTCCTGGATTTTAGAACTAACAATATCGGATTTAGTAAAACTTTCAACAAAAATTTTGTCTGCAAACTTTTCGTTTTATTAAAATGTATTTGGTTCAGATTAATACTGTAGTGATTAGAGTCAAGCATCTCATAAAATCTGTTTCAGCAAAATTATTCGGAATTATTGAATTTAACACTGACTAGTAGGGCTATGGCATTAGTATGAATATTAAATAAGTATCCGAAATAACAGTTCATACAATAATACCATTTAAACTAAATTTTATCTTTAACACGAAAGCGTTGGGCGTCAAAAATTATTGAATAAATTTATCCTTATTTAGGTCCACAGCTTAAAAATACCTCTGGAATAGATTAGTTGTTAGATTGGCTGTATGTATTGGTTATAATGTGCATTTAAGTGCTTGCTTTCTTAAAGTGAGTATTTAGTTGTCACACGTAAATTAGTACTGTGGTATATGGTATAACTGGTTCTAATTATTGGAAAATCATCAGCTAATAATTCTGTTTTAATACCAGCCTTAAAAAATGTCCGGTGTAATGGTTCGAAAATGAATAGAAATTGCAAGGTGCTAAGTTCGCTATTTACGTTACTTTTAATTAACATTCATAAATGTAAATAAACCCCGGGCTACAATTCTATCAAATGGATCTAAATTACTCTAATTTCCTTTAATTACGTGTGACGATACTATCGCAGTAATCGTTTCATGTATAATAAACCCCGTAAAACTACAACAAATGATTCACTAATCCATGTCCAAATAGCTCTAGTCACAACGTGTAATAACAACATTGTCACAATCAATAAAAATTTAATTCGAAATAATGTACCGTCGCTGCATCGAACACTCCCTTTGTCGAACGACACGACTTTTTTTAATCAATAAGAGTAAATAAAATTTCATTAGAGCTTTCGTCCTCTCGTAAAGACCGGTAGCGATAAAATTAACCGTCCCGACAAATATATTTTAGATCTAATGGGATAGTTTTGTAGAAATCCTAATTAAAGCTTGGCTTTTTGCGGTAAACAAGACCATTAAAAGGGTCGCCACCCCCTTACGCTTTAGTAATTAGCTCTGAGGTCTGACACGGCTAGGTCAAAACGCAAAAGTTTTAATTAGAAAGCCAACTTTAGAAGAAACGGAGAATCTTTGACGGCAAGAGATTAAAGAAAGACAAAAATTTTATCTTTAACTCTGTTTTAATCAATCTTTGATTAGCGATTCCGTCTTGTCTGCTATTTTATAGATTCGAGGGTCGATTCTTTCGTCGCCCCTTCTCGATTTCTCGGAAGTTTTCGCCCAATCTGCAATTTTCTCAATTCGCTCTTCAAACACCGTCTTCATCAAAATGCAAGAAAGTTTTCCACTTGGAGGGCAAATAATCCGGGGTCCACGAAGTCGCAGGCAGTGGTGTCGGGCGAAAATTTTGGACTTTGGACGCAAAGCATAATAAAAAATTTTGTTTAACGGTTATAAAACTTTCCCTTTCGTTATGACGGAACAAAACCAGTAATTTTGGTTATGAATTTTAATAAAACACCAATTATCTGAAACCGTTCGTGAATGAATTCATGGAGCGACCTCGCCCTTCAATCAAAGCAGAAACTTTCTCACTCTCGGAGCAAATAATCCCCGAGCATTAGAACCGGAAAAATTCGCGTCGATAAACAGCGGAATGATTGACGGGCAGTCTATTCTGTTTCAGCTGAAATCGAGCTGAAAAGCTCTTCAGCCTGTCGATCTCCCTGAAATGAGATCGAGACGTAACCAGCCGGCGCTGCATCCAGGATTAAGCTCCGAGGCTCGATTTGTACACACATTATTTTACTGTTGTGATTTAATCGAATGCAGGAGCTTTAGAGATTTCGGGGAAGCAGAGAATGAGAACGAGGCCCGAGGTCTTGTGTGACGCTTATTGATTTATCTTTTCCTAATCCTTTGTATCCTCTCGACGTATTAGATTGCTTTGTCCTTGCAGCGGTTCGATGCGGCTCTTTGTACTTTTCCTTTTTGTCGATTTCTTTTTCGGGGATTTCTAATGGTCATTGAGTTTGGGGTTGAGTGTTCTATACATTGGAAATTTATTCTCGAGGGAAGGTCTTTTAAGGTTCATTAATTTATTGATTTTAGGGAATCTCGGAAAGTGGTTACTTTTTCTGGGATGGAAAGGTTAGGAATTTATTTATATAAGAACAGAATAAGCTTTCAGCAAAAAACAGTGTCGAGTTGTTTTACGTCATGTAACTCGTAACAAAATATCTTTTTCTCGTTGGGAGGTTGTTTCCGAAGGTTAACAAAAGTGATTCCAAACGTTTTAATGGAACATTTTAAGGTTTATTGCCTGGAAACTTTTCTCAGAAAATATATTTGTACAAAATGTTTTTATGATAAACAAGAATTCTATTGAATGACTAAATAGCCAAAGTGTAGCGAAATACTACAAACGGTACTTACTAAAGCGTAATGTAATCTATTAAAGCTTCAAGATATGTGGTGTCTTACCAATAGTATCGTTGGGTTCGTTGTTCACGCATTGGTCTTAAAACGATCATCTGCAAAATATAGAGCGGACTGAAACAAGACCGATTTAGGTGCTTGATTGATGACGTTCTCCACCTCAATAAAAAGAAGGCTACATTTTATTCTTCTTGATACGATAATAAAAGAGGTAGAGGGCGACGGCGTGCTTTTTTATTATTAGATATTATTGCATTAGTGTTCAGTTTTTGACCAAAATATTTTAGTTCTATTGAGGTAGAGAGAAAACATTTTGAAATTTGGCTGCTTAAAATACTGACGCAAAAAATTGCTATGATAAATAAAAATAATCATGTGCTTTTGTTTCATCGTATTCTTCAAGGTATATAGTACATAAAACTTGAAGCGGCCTTTTAAAAAAAAACGTCGGTTATAGTTACGTCTAATTACATTTCCATTATTATTTTTCGAAATTCGCTGTACAAGAGAATGCTTCCTTTTGTCCTTTTGTACTACAGTAAGAATATGTTTTGATGTATTTTTATCAAAAGTGTAACTTTTATCCATTTTAATAAATTTAGAAGTTCGCTTATACATACAGTTTCCGACAAAAATTTCAAACATCACTTTTCTGTCATGTCAAATTTTTTAATGTAGTCTATGCTTTATTGTCATTATTTCGGACAGCTGGAATATCAAACTTTCAAAATACCTAAACATCTAAAGGTTGCTTTACACTATCTGACGACTGAATGACATTGACGTCTGAAATTTTTTGGCTGTAACTGTATATGGTTTCAAGTAATAAAATTAATGTCGCGCCTGCCTGTATTTAATAATAATCTTGTCAGTCAGATTAGATTAGCACCAGTAGGTCAGAGTAGTGTAAGTCACTTTCCAAGTGATGCGCGGATAAATGATCGGTAGTTACGCTAGACTTTTGGGGATGGGGTGAGATTAGACAATAATAGCAGACTAATTTGTATGCTGTAATTCTAGAATCTCGAAAGTTGTTTTGTTAATCTAATTAATGCATATCATTACTTGGTCTTAATACCCGTAATGATAGAAGTCTTGCCTGAATGCCGGTCATTTCCGGGTCAGTGGTGGGTCTTAATAAAATAATAATAATTTATTATCATAATAACAGTTCGCCCGAAATTATGTTCAACCCGTTTGTCTCCATTGTAGCTTAACTAATTAAATTAGTCCTCTCCTCTCTTTTGAGGAGAGAAAATCAATCAAATTAAATTTTCTTGGAACCAGGTACTTGTTATCGAGACATGCTAACAATCGAATTTTTTGGAAGTATAAACATAAACAGACGAAGTTACGCATGTACTGAGTCATATGTGAGACAACATATTTTCTCGCTTGTAGAGAAAATCTTTATTTTTTTGTTTATACTTCAAAATAACCCAGTTCTAACTAAATGAAATATTATTGATTTTATCTCAACCCAACGGAGCAATTAATTAAACAGATTCCATTTCTTTTTCCAAAAATCTAGATGTCTAACCTAAACATTAATAAATTTAAAGAACATTTACTCGGCAAAATTGTAAGATGTAGTAGTCATCATTTTTTGCTAGGGGCATAGAAGGAAAAGATTTTATTAACGATTTATGCTTACTATAACCATAACCAACTGTTAGTAATACTGTAATAATAGTAATGGTAGTTTATTTTCCCACAGACATTTACCGTCCTTATCGGAACAAAAATACAAATATATCCAAACTTAATAATAATAGTAATAATAGTAAAGAAGAGGGGACTCGCTATGAATTATTATTATGAAACATTTCTCAAAATTCGCAGGTTAATATGAGCTTACATATTCCAAAAATACAGACAAAAATGAAAAATAAAGAAAAAGAAAATTTTGGGACACCGTTTCTTTTTTTGAAAAATTTAAAACAATCTAGGTATTCTTGCTTGGAAAAGAATTTGAAAATTACTTTGGAGCTTCTAGTGTCTTTTCTTATAATAATTTAATTAAATTTCTTAAAGGATACCTCATTTGCAAAATCAGCTTTATCTTAGCAGGTACCAGCCCCACCCACCCGCCTTCTATTTTCTTAGAGGGTATGTCTTGTGCCAAAATCAGTTTTATCATAGCAAGTACTAAACCCGCCCACCTGGGTTCTTCTCATTCTGAGGGCTAATTTTATCTCCGTTTTCTATACGAACCACCTTTCATTCAGAGCAGACAAATGAATCACTGAAATGAAGGTGGGTGGGTGGGCGGGGCTAGTGCTTGCTCATAAAAGCTAAACATAGCCCCGCCCACATTCTTTCTCATTTGACTAACTTATTATATTTATTGTGAATTGAGAATCGAATTCTACTTTGACATGCAGAAGAATCTAAGATTTAAAACAAACTCGAAACTGTTAGCCTCACGCACACGCCCGCCCTCTGTTTTCTAAGAAGGTATGTCTTTTACCAAATTCAGTCGTATCGTAGCAGGTACTAGCCCCGTCCACCCACCCTCTGTTTTCTTCGAAGGTATCTCATTTGCCAAAATCAGCTTTATCTTAGCAGGTACCAGCCCCACCCTCCCGCCCTCTGTTTTCTTAGAGGGTATGTCTTGTGCCAAAATCAGTTTTATCATAGCAAGTACTAAGCCCGCCCACCCGGGTTCTTCTCATTCTGAGAGCTAATTTTATCTCTGTTTGGTATAAGATCCACCTTTCATTCAGGGCAGATAAATGAATCACTGAAATGAAGGTGGGCGGGACTAGTGGTTGCTCATAAGTCTTATCGTAGCAGGTACTAGCCCCACCCACCCACCCTCTGTTTTCTTAAAGGGTATGTCAAGTGTCAAAATCAATCAATTGACCCTCTTGTCATTTTACAATCGTTTGACAAGTAGGTGAGGTCTAGTAGCAAAGGTAGTAAAAAATTTGAGGCCACTTTGAGATCTTTCAAACTAGTTCACCATGCGTATTGTGCAAAAATAAGAAAAAACTTGAAACACCGAGCAATCTGCATATTCGGAGTAGGTAAATGGTTGGAATTTTGCAACCAATTTTGTGGTATTTATTGTTATAGAGAATAAATTATGAAATAATTTCATCGACCCTTATTAATATATGTATTAAACAACACAAAATAAATTTCCAATTACAGGGTAAATAACAAGACTTAACCTAATAATTGTGTCAGTGTTGTGTCACTGGTTGAAGGTTTCCACTTGTTTTGACAAAAAATAAAATAAAATTTTATTGAATTAACAAATTACTTCTGAGATTTCTATTTACATGTCTACCCTACCATCACAAATACATGTATGGCTAAAATACATGTAATTACTACATATTTAGGTTGATATAAATTTGTTACGATTATAATATTTGTGAATATTTATGTTTAATAGTGTTTTTAAATTCACTTTTTTTGGAAAAATGTAAGTCACAATAATGAAATTCATTTATATACCTTGCAATGTTTGAAAAAGTTGTCTTCACTCCTAAGTTTGTATTTGCAACAGTGCTGTATATTATTGCATGGTATCTGCTACCTATCCTTGGAAGTGAAAACTGAATTAAATTTAACAAATATGGACAGTCTATTTGATTATTAAGAAGATTATAACAAAATATTACTGCTGACATAATCCTTATACACTGAAGTGAGTCTATGGTAAACAAGTGAAACAAATTTATTTGTTTACTTTATAATAAAGCAGTTTTACAAATTTTCTTTGAATATTTTCAAGTCTAATTTTTGACAATTGTAGTGAGGAAACCATACCAGTATTTTTTTTTTACTCAAGCCGAGGGCGTACAAGGGAACTATATAAACATTTCAAAGATTTGGTGTCAGGAAATTCTTTGCATGTTCTCATCACAAATCCTAGTATTTTTGATGTTTTCTCAACTAACTTATCAACATGATTATTGAAATCTAATCTTGCATCAAATGTAACTCCCAAATCTTTCACGTTACAATAACACATTTACCCACATTCTGAGGTATATTATTTAGTTCACACCAATTACAACGGTGCAAAATTTTATGTTTATTTTGCAGATTATGACAATCTTCAAGAGTTGTTAATTTCAAAAAAATCTTTATATCATCAGCATACACTAGTGCACAATATTTCAACGTATGTGCTAAATCATTAATGTAAATATGAAAAGTAAAGGACCCAAATTTGAACCCTGTGGAACACCGGATAATGCAAAATATGGTTCAGACACAAATCCGTTTACAGTAACCACCTGTTTTCTACCCGACAAAAATGACCTAAAAAAATTGACTAAAGTATGCGCAAATCCCATTTTTAACATTTTCTCAAATAGTAATACATGGTCAACTTTGTCGAATGCTTTGGACGTGTCTGTATATAAAACATCTATTTGACCCTATTTTTTCATGGCTCTTTAACGACAACAACGCTTCATTCTCTCTTTCGACTAATTACAGATTGTGACTTGTATATCGGATGTAGCGTTATTTAAAAAATTAGGGGGAGGATCAACTTAAAATTATGTTGACCACTCTTTCTTGCCACTAGTACCACTCTTTTGTGTCTTTGTTTATTGTTATGCGTTAAAGAATGCTAGGAATATATTTTTAGACCATGCTATAACATCTTCAGGAGGGAGGGTAAAAACTTAGCACGGATTCATAAATCACACATATAAGATGGTGTCATTACTTTTTAGGGGGACATAAATGAAAAAAATTTGATTAGCTATTTACCACGTTTATGATAATCTTAAATGTAGGAGTACCTTATTTTATAAAATTTAAATTACATTACTAATGTAAATTTTGGAGATGACGTCATCGTTTTGTTGTTGGGGATAGTTAACAAAATTTTAGTTAGCGTTTTACTATCTACACGATATTCCTAATGCACATGTAAAATTTATGTGCTGTTTAATGAAAATCTGGACAGACGGCAGGTAAGCAGACAGACAGACAGAAGCAGGAGACCTACACTAGGGGTCATGAAACGCCGAAAAAACGTAAAAATAGCCAGTCGTCCGATGGACTCGATCACAGTATTTCCTTCGATGTCGTTCGGAAGTAAAAACATATATTAATATTTTTAATG